GAAAATTTGATAATTCCGATAATGACTCCTTTCGAGAGATAAGACGGATACGAAGTGGAATTGTAAAAAGGGATAGTTGCTATGTGAACTTCTATTCGCATGTTTGAGTCGGTGAGGCACATTTGATCGAACATCGAATTGTTGTAAAATGATTTGATTTAATGAATTGAAAATACATTGACGTATGGATTCATTAAGATTTGTTTGTAATCCAATACAAAGATTATTAATTTCATCATGTGTAAATTCTATGTTTAAATGATATTTAATGATTATTTCCAATAATTTTGAAGAATTCAAAGTTAATATTTCATTTTAACTTGATAGTAGTTCGGTGGGGAATGGGGAAATTTGATCATAGAATTAGAAAAAATAGCGGAAAATATTTTACGAACAGAAAACTTCAACAGATTCAATTTTGACGAATTTGAAAAGAAATTAAGTAGATTTATTAATGATGAAGTTTTCGATAATAAAATAATATCAATGAATGTATTTGAAGTACTCGAGAAAATATTAAAAACAAATTCATATAGTTCAAAACTCATTCTAATTTTACTTCAATATGTAAAAAAAGGTCAAAAATTATCGATTTATTTCGTTGAAACATTGAGCATACAACTTTGTATTAATTAGAACATTGAAAAAAAATGAAATTTTAATCTAAATTCTATATTATGTTATTCAAAATGGACAATCATTGACTGAGAATATTATTCAACAATTTAAAGAATTTTTTCTTATCAATCAATTCTCTTCAAAATATAAAATAGAAATATTCAAATTATTAATTAAGCATAATGGTATTTAAATTGACATAAAAATCTTTGAAAAATTGATATGCAAAGAAATCTTATTGAAACATTAGCCTATTCTTTACAAAATCTTTCTAACAATGTTAAATTAACAAATGAGAGAATTTTGACATTAACTGAAGATTATTTTCAATCCAATAACTCAACAAAAGAAATCAAATAGTACAGTTGTGTAGCACTGAATGCTCTCGTTGCATATCGGACAACTCTATCGCATTTAACATTAGATTTTCTAAAAATTCATGCACAAGATGATGAATTGGATAATACGCAAACAACGACAAGTTATTCTTTAACAATCGATTTAAGATATATGTCACTGAGCACACTTAACACATTCAACGCGATTCAGTTTTCTTCGAAATATTGAGTCTGTTCGAGAATCTACTTATAATAAATGCACCTATTCGTCATTTCATTATCTTCTACCGATTATTCATCGTCCCTCTTCTTCTCATCATCACATCATGAGTCTGGTGAGCAAGATCCAATGGCAGGTCTTGGACATGCTGAGACAGTCGTGATGAATTTATTGAATGGTCTTTCGGGATGTTATCGGACTGTGGTAGCCGATAACTTCTTTATCAGTATTTCCCTAGCAAAACGTTTGTTGGCACACGATACATACCTTATTGGAACATTGAGAAGAAATCGTGCCGCATCCGGAAAAGAATTCCTTCAGAAGAAGCTCAAGCGTGGCGAAGCGTACGGACTTCGAAATAAGGAAGGCATAAAACTGATCATGTGGAAAGACAAAAAAGATGTTTTGATGATATCCACAAGGTCTTCGCATTCAGCAGCTGTAGTAGATATTGAAAAAGCAAATTTTCAAAATGAGCCAATTATGAACCCAAAAGTTGTAGTAGATTATAACAAAGGAAGACAAGGTACTGATTTATCTGATCAACTATCAGCATATTACACATGCCTCAGACGATCTATAAAATGGTACCGAAAGGTGGCATTTGAATTGTTTTTTGGACGGCTATAGTGAATAGTTATCTGGTATACAAGGAAAACTATTCAGCAAACAATATGACCATCCTGAAGTTTCGTGAAAGTCTTGTGAGATCTTTACTGCTCGGTATACCATTTGAGAATGTAAAGCCTGGGGTGAGACAACAGTCAACAAGTCAAAGCAAGCGCAAACTTGCGGATCACAAGCTCGAGGAAAAGGAGGGATCTGACCATGACGTCCGAAGACGTTGTGCTGGCTGCTACGAGAAAATAAGGCAACAGCAATCAAGAGGAACAAGTAATGCAACCGCAAAGAAAGTAAAAACTTTTTGTTCCGATTGTGACAAATTTTATTGTCTTGGTTGCTTTAACGAGAAACACCATTCTGTATAATAAATGGTTAAAGAGAGGCTCGAGAAAATATATGATATATCACACATAACCTTCTGACCGAAGAAAAAAGCAAAAGAAAGTATTTTTCTAATCATTTTCTTCCTAAAATATAGCGTCGCGTCGAATGTGTTAAACAATATCTCCTTATGTATAAACAATCTGGAAATATAGTCGAAATGAATATAATAGAGCAAATTATCAATCAAGAAATGCTTGGTGAAACAATTTTAGCAAATCGAAATCCAACAAGCCTTTTAGAAACAGAAAAACAATTATTATCCCTCGTTCAAGATGAACAACGATCTTTATCAACATATAATATGACAGTCCTAGAATTATCTTTCAATTTATATGATTCTTTCGTTGAATACAAGTTAATTGTTATGAAAATTTTCGAATGTCTTTCAGCTTATTTAAATCCATTACAAATTAGGTTTATTCTCGATCCTATACATGATAATGTATTAAGTAAGGCTGTGATCGATGTTTTAAAGGCATTGACTCACTTTAAAAAATCTTTTCCAACTGAAACATTGAATATTTTAATTGATTTTGCATCTGAAAATAAAAATCAAACATTAAGAGATACT